AAAGCCGACCCTTCCTGTAGCATCATGCATCAATAATGCAGCATCATGCATCAATAATGCAGCATCATGGGATGATGCAGTATCATGCAGTGATGCAACATAGAAACAGACAGGTATAAAATGGATCCTGTATTGTTACTGAGTGTGTTTCAAAGTTTCATATTCCACCTTTAAATGCAGCATCTTGCTGTGTCAGTGCATGATGCTGCATCAATGCATGCACCCCATGCCTGTTATGGACAAAGCACAAAGAAAAAGATCTACAAACAAAGGAGTCGTGTGTTTGTTGACCAAAAACTCGACAGCATGAACTACCTTTTGCCATTTAATGTATAGTTGTGCTGATGTTTGATGTGTGTTGATCTTAAAGGTCACACAGCAGTCTGAATGTCAGAGTGGCATGCAACTCATTTTGTTGTGGCTTATCATGCAACTCATGCATGTTTTGACCTTTCTTCTGATTTTTGTATTTGTCTCCAAACCATCGTCTTAATCTGTTACTGTCTAGCTTCACAGGTAAAACATTATGATAGTTTCTGAACGGTATCTGCAAAGCAACAACAGATTACAGCTTTAACCATCACAGAGGCTTCAAGCTAAAGAAGTTGATAAGGGTTTTCTCAGCGCATTGCCTGATTAAAACCTCCACCGTGAGCATATTTTCAAATCTGTGGAGTTTATGATCAGTTTCAAGAAATTACAGTAAAATATACCAGGTTTTAGACTAATTGAATGTTAACACTTTGTCCTTATGATAAATATTAAATAAATAGATTAGAATGTAATCTTTTTTTAGCTATTTATTTAGTGATGATGGGAGACTCAGCTGGATATAGTAAATCTAAAATTTTTGCTCAGAGAAACACTGATATGTACCAGTTTAAATACGTAGATTATCAGATTAATTACATATTTTGAGATGGTTTGTATGTTAAATGAAAATAGAACATAATAAATGTTCTATGGTTTGAGGCTTTATAGTGTTAAGTCAAGATAAACCATAAAATAACCTGACAATCATCTTTCCCTGACTTTTTCTTCTAGATTATGATCCACGTCCTGTTTTTTAATCCAAAGCCTTTACTGACTTTGTACAAACTCCAGTAACAAAGATCACTTCTCTTAGGCAACTAAAAGCCTCAAGACAGATCTTAATTTGTAAAACGCACGTTTTAACATTTAGTAACATAAAGTCTTAAGAGAGATTGATTTTATACTAGTGTTGAGTCTGAATGAAAGCTAACGATAACAAATCTAATATCTGGTGAAAAAACAATGGAAAATGTGAATTAAGATTAAATATTACTTCTAACTCTAAACTTAAAGCTTTTTGTCCCAAACCTCTAACAGCTCTTAGCTCTTAGTCCTCTTAATCCATAACCTTGGTACTTATGGTCTTATAACCCTTGCTAACCCTTGTTCTTCTTTCTTTATACCTTCATTCTTTTCTCTATCCATCCTTCCGCTAACCCAAATAAATCCCAACAAACCGCCCTCAATGCACTGCTCTCCTTGGTGATGGGAATCTGCCAACTTTTGGGGTTTTCGCTGACCTCTTCCTCGACTCGGTGATCATTTCCTGGGTGACTGGGAACGCAGAAGGTGAAGAAACCACTGACATCCGCGGTATCCCCTCAGTCCAACTGCCATCCAGCGTCTTCCAAAACTACGGAGAGGCGGAAGAGGACGACCCGTACCGCTACTACCAGCCCAACTACCCCGCTCCCCAACCCGTGGCTCCCGATGACCCCGCGCTGGCGTTCGAAGACGCCGAGCCCAGTTCCCCCGACGTGTACCGTAGCACAAGGAGCATAAAGGTGGAAAAGGAGCAAGATGGATCCAAGAGAAGAATAAAGAGAGGAATGAAGAATCTTCCTGGACTAACTAACTGAGGAGACAGAGGGCCGCCTGCTGTTTGTGATTGGAAGGCTCTGAGCCATTATGAACTAATCAACAAGTGCCTGATGCAGGGGTTTCTAACGGACATTAGAGATGGAGCGGGAGGGGGGTGAGGTTAGGAAAATATAACTCATCTATGCTATTGAATTAACGTCAAGGAAACTGAGTTATTTTGTTTTATTCATTTTGTGGAGGTCAGGAAAAATGCTCAGAACGGTACTGAACTTTAGATCTTAATACACCAAACTTTGTCAGTATTCAATTCAATGATTTGTTTTCTGGTTATTAGTTGTTGTTTTTTTTTCACCTGGTTGTTTAAGTGCCTCCTAGTGTTTTTTCTAGTACCTTGATGGTAACGTATCTTGTCTTTGAAGGTCTGTTTTGATGCCAGGGGAAGTTTTGCTTCAGCCTCTCATTTTTACCTTTGACCAGAAAAAAAATATCAGATGGTTTTGATATAAACAATAATCTTTTTTTTTTTTTTTTTTTTTTAAGATCAACATCTTGTAATTGTTTACTTTGCTTGAGTCCAGCTGTGTCTTTAAAACTACAATCTGTGGGTGGTGTTTGATATACGCACTTCTGACTTGGAAAAATATGTTTATTTCCATTTTTTTTTAAAAAGGATATATTATAAGTATAAATATCTTACAACTTTAATTTAATCTGCTGTTACAGCCTTAAAGAAAAAGTGGACAGAAAATCTTTTTAGCACCTCCCATCCTCACACCAGACATATAAACAATGTCCGGCCCCTGTCGTTTATTCCTGAACTTCTAAATTATTGGGTGGGTCTAAAATTGACCCTTCAAAATAATTACAAATATAAAAATTATAGGTCTTTGTTTCAAACTAACTTAATTATATTCTGTTAACAAAATACACAGAAATCTGAAAGGAACTTGTGATTTACAAAATTTGTACATGAATGGCCAAAACATGTTTGTTTTGAAGGCATCTAAGTTTGCAGCAGGTCATTTTTTTCCATCTTCACAACTTGTATAATTATGGTTTTGCATGTTTTTATTTCCTTTTATCAAATAATATACTTATTTTGATCTGACTAGGACACAAACACTCCTAAGCCACATATCGATCTGGTTTTATAAATGTTTATTACTATAGTATGGAGCTAAAACTTGTGTTTAAGGAGGCAAATTAAGCTAAAACTTTATAAACTTTGGAATACTGAGGGAATAATTTTTTTTTTTTTATTTCAGTTGTTTTTTTCAACATTTCTTATCGTGAATTGTAATAAACCAGTTAGCCATCTGTTCCAAAAAAAAATCCTGTTGATATTTTCTGTGATTTCAAATCAGCTCTAGAAAATAATTTAATTCAATAAATTATCACACAAATTTATTTCTCATACATGCTTCGTTCATTATTTTAATTTCCATGCTGCACATCTTTTTAACTCCTGTTTTTCTTGCAGGCTTGAAGAAATTGAGCCATAATCTCAAATACACTTGATTTTGTAAATGTTTTTCCCGCTCAATTTGTTTTTCCTGAAGCATTTGGTCTGTTTGTGCAGTGTCTGATCAGTATGTTAAAAAAAAAATCAAAACAAAAAAAAATCAAGGAAGTAATTTATTTTTTAACTTGGTGTTGATTTTCTCAGAACAATAAAACTGAAGTACAAGCGTCTGGAGTTGTGTCTGTGCGTGGGATGGTTAATTGTGTTGCTTAGTCTTTGTAAGAAATGTGAACAAAATGGGAGAACTAATTAAACTCCTACAGGTAGCTTTAAAACGTGGAATGAAGCTGCAGGAAGCTGATTTAACACTTGGCAGGGAAGGTTGGACCACCCGGCTCAGCTTCACTCCTTCCAACTTTGAATAATTACTTATTTGAAGTTAAATAAGCAACAGGAGGGAAAGTGTTCAGCTGTGCTGTCGGACTGGACTCCAGTATAACACCTGTTCCAAAATGGTGGTGGTAATTAAAACTTCCCCAAAGGTCTGAACTTTACCTATTATTCTAAATTAAATACATTATTACAGTAGCAGCCTTTCAAAATAGCCCTTCCCAGTCAAACGGCAGCAGAATGGCAGCCCAATCCCCTGTGACTCCCAGCAGAATGCCCTCCAACTTCCAGCCAATGGAGTGACGCCCTCCTTCTCCTAGGCGTGCATATTTCCCTAAATTACAGGGTCTGATCAGGTGATGGGGCTTCCCTTTAGTTCTTAATGTCCACAAATCATGAAAGAGAGAATATTTTAGTACAAATATTGATGTTTAAAAAGGAATTGTAGGGGACCAGCCAAGGGCCCATTAAGGAAAGTTAGGACATTTTGAATGGCTAATCCTGTACAGTCAGAAGTTTGCAGTCATTAAATGCTGTAATAGTTTGTGGCATTTACAGGAGTTTTAGTTTGAAGATATTTTGGAATATTTTTCTTATCAATACACCCAGGCATCAACATAATTATGCAAAGGCTATAAAGCTACAAAGCCTAAAGCCTGATATAAAAAAACAGATCTTTTAAACTGATATTCGCAGCTATCTGCACAGTTAACAATGGTGAGATGATATAGTTGGATAAAAACTCATCATGGAAATCTAGAAAGCTTTTTTGAGAGAATTATTTTCAATCATAACTAAGGAACACTATGGCAACTGTTGAGCACGGTGGGGGTAGTTTCATCGTGGGGGATTGATTTTCTAGCAATGCTACTATTTGGCACAGACTGAGTGAAAAGTCAGAAACTCAATTCTCCCATCTTCTTCCACTTAGACTCAAACTAACAGCTCGTAAACTGGGACATGAATTCAAATGGAGGTTCTCAAACTAAAACCCTCATCAATGCTGGTCTGATTAAAATTCCTTTGACCCTAGTTTTATTAGACAGGCTGCATTCTACCTTAAAAAACAGTTTCACAGCCAATTTAAAAAAGCAATTTAGCACATAACCTACAGTCTAATGTGTTTCCCCAAAATTTCCATTTTCCTAGTTGTGAATTTACACTGATGTGGCCCAAAAAGTTGGAATTTTGGGTTGGAATGTTGGTGAAATAGGATGGTATACGACTGACTTATGGATGTTACTTCATCAACAATAAACAAAGATTCCAGAATTAACCATTTATAGCAGTTGTTATTTGTTGTGTTTGTAGCATTAAGTCAGATGTTCAGGTATTATGTGCACAGAGGCTGGCATTCTATATTGTAATGGGTAAAACAGTGGCTCTATGGGCAGCATAGAATATATATAAGGGTATACAGGTAGAAAAGTTGTGCACATTTACCTGAGAGATTACGTCATTCCCACTTTTTACATTTGTTTTGAGGATACAAAACAAATTTACAGGATTTGATATCTAGAAAATGTCTGTGAAACTTTTTAACCCTTTATAGAGAAGTTTCACATTTTTAGTCATATTCACATCCCATACTAAGGTCTAAAAACACAGGATTATATTTTATTATCCAACCATTCCGCATAGATACCACTTGATAAATAAACCTACTGTACATTTAGTAGGATGTTTTGTTTTGTTTTTTTTCTTTTAACGTATTAGGGGAACTGACCTTTTTATATTTTTTTACCTTATTATATTTAATTTGATGTTTGCCTTGAATATATACATATATATATATATATATATATATATATATATATATATATATA